CCTAAATTATCTGTGTTGTAGTTTTTAAAAAGAACTTTAAAACTTTAAAAAAGTTTAGAAAGAAACTTTTTATCTCTCTTCCTTTGTCAACTTTAAACTTTTGTGTTACCATTTTTTGAGTTCAATGTAGATTTTACCTCAGCAAATTAATTTTGATTCTCATTCTTTTTTGGGGAGAAGGATGGTATCCTTTTCAGTTACATAGTGGCACTTATTTTTTTTTTAATATTTTTATTTATTTCTAGGGGAAAGAGAGAGACAGGGTGAGCAGGGGAGGGTCAGAGAGAGAGGGAGTCACAGACTGAAACAGGCTCCAGGCTCCGAGCTGGCAGTCAGCACAGAGCCCGATGCGGGGCTCGAACCCACGAACCGTGAGATCATGACCTAAGCGAAAGTCGGACGCTTAACCGACTAAGCCACCCAGGCGCCCCTCATAGTGGCACTTATTTTATATTGCTTTTATATCACATACTTTTCCTTTGTAAACGGGGTGTGGTGTGCTTTCTTGCTCACTTTTCCTTTTGAAAAGAAAACACTGGCCTCCTAATAGAGGGCACTGTGTTTTGGTTATACACGAGTTTTGATCAAGAGTTGTATTTTCTAATTAAAATGAGAAACTGTAAAACTGGATATGAGGCCTTCAGCTGTATTTGCTAATTAATCATACTGATTTCTGATCCAGATGTGGGAGGAATGGTCATCATGCTGACCTAATGAAGTGTGCCAGGCATGTAGTGGGCACTCTGAAAACAGGATTCTGGTCCTTCAGGATTCTTTAAACACCTAGATATACATGGTGCTGTGTCAGGAAAAGTCCATAGAGATGGAGTCCCTTCAAGGTTATGTAAAAGTCTGTCCGTCTGTCCTGGAAGTTGACTCCCTAAATGTACTACGATTTCACACTCAGGCCTTTAGGTAGTTTACGTGCAGTGAGTTGCATACAGGCAAGAGAGGCAGTGATGTTTGTGTGCAGTGTGGGACAGAGATGGCCTTGGCCGGCTTGAGGCGGGTTCTTTTGTTCTTACTGTTCAAGTACGTTTTAGCTTTAATAGCCCTCCTTTATTCCGTGTTCCTCATTCCCTCGTCCAATATCGCACGTGCAGATTAATAAAAGAAATTGGATAACCCGTGGAGCCAGTTTTTCCTAAATAGGGAGATGGTTCCATGGAATATTAATGTTTATTTATTTCTTATTAAATAGTATTACTTATATTTCTTTTAAAGATTTTGTTTTATTTTCAGTGCTTATTTTTGAGAGCAAGAGAGACAAAGCACAAGTAGGGGAAGGGCAGAGAGAGAGGGATACACAGAATCCAAAGCAGGCTCTGAGCTGTCAGCACAGAGCCTGATGCAGGGCTCGGTCTCACGGACCACGAGATCATGATCTGGGCTGAAGCTAGATGCTTACCAACTACTGAGCCATCCAGGCACCCCTAAAGATTTTTTTTTTTTAAGTAGGCTTCACACTTAGCACAGAGCCCAGTGCAGGGCTTAGACTCACCACCCTGAGATCAAGATCTGAGCTGAGATCAGGAGTTAGATGCTTACCAGACCGAGCCACCCAGGCCCCCTTAGGGTGGTCTTATTTTAAAAGCTTGTCCAAGGGCACCTGGCTGGCCTAGTTGGTTAAGCGTCCGACTTTGGCTCAGGTCATGATCTCATAGTTCGTGGTTCGAGCCCACGTTAGGCTCTGTGCTGGCAGCTAGCTCAAAGCCTGGAGCCTGCTTTGGATTCTGGGTCTCCCTCTCTCTCTGCCTCTCCCCTGCTCGCTTGCTCTCTCTCTCTCTCTCTCTCTCTCTCTCAGAAATAAATAAAAACATTAAAAAAAAAAAAGCTTGTCCAACTTAATGTGCTAATTAGAAACCTAGAATCTAGTGATAAATGGGAATTTTAGAATCTTCTCCACTTTTTACAAGTTCAGAAGTATCCTGGGGAAGGTGGCTGTCCCAGTCGGTGGAGCATGCGACTCTTGATCTCGGGGTTGTAGGTTACAGCCCCACATTGGGTGTAAAGATTGCTTATAACTCTCAAAAAAATGTCTTATTTGCCTCATGGTCATTTAGTTTCTTTACTTACACTTATAGTGACGGAGACCTCACTACCCTGCAAGGCAACTCATTCCATCCCTGCAGCTGTGATCACTGGCAAGCTCTCCTCCTGGTCATCTGAAGCCTGCCTGTGGTGGAACAGTGCAGAACTTCCATATTACCTGTCACAAAACTACCTTAAATACATAATTTCTTTTCATTAGATGGAAATTACCGAGGGCAAGGATCATGTTTGACTAGCCTTCTTTCCTTCTAGTGTGTTCAACATAGGCACTCAGTAATGTTTAGAGAATAAATTCTTTTTTTTTTTTTTTTTTTTTAAATGTTTTATTTTTATTTATTTCTAGGAGAGAGAGAGACAGCGTGAGCAGGGAGGGTCAGAGAGAGAGGGAGTCACAGACTCCGAAACAGGCTCCGGGCTCTGAGCTGGCAGTCAGCACAGAGCCCGACGCGGGGCCCGAACCCACGAACCGCGAGATCATGACCTAAGCGAAAGTCGGACGCTTAACCGACTAAGCCACCCAGGCGCCCCTAGAGAATAAATTCTTATTCAGTTTCTTGTGATTTGAAGATTAACTGGAAGTTGGACTAAATGTTTTTCGCTGTATTTAGGAGCAGTGGAAGTGGGTCTTTATGGAGTAGAAGAGTCACATTTCACAGGTGTTTCCCCCTCATTGGTTAAAATGGAAGTATCTCTCAGTGCTTTTGAATCACAGATACACTTTGATCATTGATAGCAAACGATCCAGTTAGATAAGAAATCTATTTGCTTTCCTTTTTATCTGTGGTCCTCCTTCCAAATGACACATGCAGAAAAGCACAGCACTCTCTGAACTTTCTACACTGATTATTTTAGGTGTTGTCTTCAAGAAGCTGACAGGGACACCCTTAGAGAAAAGAGAATAATCCTTAGAGAAAATCAGAAGGTGAAGATCCTGAGGTACCCAGACGTGTACCCAGGAAGACTTGACCCCACCGGGAGTCTCTGGATTCATGTGCAGAACTCTCTGGAGCTTTAACACCCAGTTTTTCTACAGTATTGCATGGTACACATGCAGAATACCGCTACAAATCATTCCTTACCAAATGGTAAGATTTTGACACTAAGGGCCTAAAAAGGATCCTGGTTCCCAACCCACAGGTTGTCCCTGAGGACACTGAGGCTGGAAAGCACCAGGCACTTTTTGAAGGAATACAACTGCCCTCAGGCAAAGCCTGAGTCTAGAACTCAAGCTTTTTTTTTTGTTTTGTTTTGTTTTTTACACTCTTAGCCTAAAAATAAAACATTAGAAGAGGCAGAAACTGTTGATTGCTTACTTGGCCATGTTCAAAATGTTGTAGCGAAGTGGGGGGTGGGAATTAGACCTTTTATTTTTTTTTCCTTCTTCAGAACCATTTTTAGTTTCCAGGTGTTTGCCGCTTCCTATGAATCCTTCAGCTGCTCTCGACCAGGATCCTTCAAGACTGTGTTACTGCGAGGCCGCCCTGCGTGGCCACCCCCCTTCCCAGGGTACCCCTCTTGCTTCCAGGCACTTGGCAGCCATTGCTGTTAGCGCTTTTCTCCTGGCCTCCTGGTCTGCTGCAGTAGTTCTAGAGGAAATCCTCCCTGTGAGGCCCGCTTCTGGAGCCTGCCTCCCAGGTCGCCCCCATTCAACACAAGTTTAGCAGATCTCCCTCCATTTCACCGTCACTTTCCCTCCCAGAGGTCACTCCTCCCAGCCGTACCTGCTGTCTTTCTTTTCTTCCGTCTTCTGGTATTAATTGACCGCATTCAACTCCTTAGCCAGTCTAGTTGGTTTTTCCTTTCATCTTGTTCATTGATTCCTCAGCCTGTCAGGCTTCAGTCTTCACAGGTGCCCTTCCTCCCTCCCTTCTTTCTACTTCTGGTTGAGCTCTGCGGCCAAGTCATTGCGTGTGTGTGTGTGTGTGTGTGTGTGTGTGTGTGTGTGAGAGAGAGAGAGAGAGAGAGAGAGAGAGAGAGAGGTTTCTGGAGCCCATTCCTTTCCTGCACCTCCCCCAGGCCTTCATCCAGCCCTTCTGCAGTGGCAGTAATTTATGGACTGCTCTCTCTGCATCCAGTCTTGTCTCTTTGCCAGTGCATTGTTTGCACGGATGCCAGATGAATCTTCTTAAAATGCTGCATTTTCAAAGTCAGTCTTTCCCTGGTCCTTCTCAGAAACATTGAAGTAGCTCCTTGTTCCCTTAGGAAAGTCTGAACTTGGCTCCCCATTCGGAGCTACTGTGGTCAGGTGCCTGCATTGTTTGCTGGCTTCTCTCCCTCCTCTGTCGGCCTCAGCCTGTCCAGTTTGATCATTACCTCCTGCGTGAGCCTCGTTCCTCTTGGTTTCTGGGAGTCTTTAGCTCCTCTGTGGAGCCTTGTCTGCCAGCCATTCTATTCAAGTCTTTGCTGATTCTTGCTGACGCTCACTGGCCCTCCTGTTCATCTGGTTCTTGATTCACTAAGCAAACATTACAAAAGATACGCTGTTTTGCTCCTGTGAGGAATGGCTTATAAAGGGGCACGCAGGCCGGTCCCTACGGCCAGGAAGCTTGCCTGTGTCATCTGGATTCTGTGTGTGTCTGCTGGATTGGAAGGGTAAAAGCAGAGGCCAGGCATTAGCGATTACATTTAAAAATTTTAAAAAAAAATCACTAGCATCCGTATACCCAGCAAGGTTCTGCACAGGCAGATAATAAATGCTGTGAGAGCTGCTAGTAAGACTTACTGGAACCTCTTACTTTATGTAACTATTTTGGCAGTTTCTAGTAAATTCTGTATATTCCCACTTTAGCCTAGCATCAGTTGTACCATTAAAATTAAGGTAGAAATCTATGAACATAAAGTCATGAGTGGAGTTATAAGACTTAATTAGGTAAGGTTATTTAAGAGAGTGATTTCTCATTAGACTGGCCCTGCCCATATAAGCTTTCCTGCTTTTTTTCTGCCTTCAGTCTGCATGAAGAAATCAGTGATTTTTATGAATACATGTCTCCAAGACCAGAGGAAGAGAAGATGCGGATGGAGGTGGTGAACCGGATCGAGAGTGTGATTAAAGAGCTCTGGCCCAGCGCTGACGTGAGTACCTGTCTGGGCCGCCGGGTGCCAAGGGTCACGTCCCCGTCCGCAGGGTGGACGGCACGTGTCGGTGTCTCAGAGCCCTCACGCGCAGGTGGATGTGCATCTGTACCCCTAGGGGCGAGTTAAATTTTAAAGGTAGAGGGGCGCCTGGGTGGCTTAGTCGGTTAAGTGTCCGACTTTCGCTTAGGTCATTATCTCGCGGTTCGTGGGTTCGAGCCCCGCATCGGGCTCTGTGCTGATTGCCACCTCAGAGCCTGGAGTCTGTTTCAGCCTGTGACTCCCTCTCTCTCTGACCCTCCCCTGCTCACGCTGTCTCTCTCTCTCTCTCTCTCCTAGAAATAAATAAAAAATATTAAAAAATAAAAATAAAAAAAATAAAGGTAGATAGTTTTCTCTGGCCTTTAGAATTTGGAGCCTCCTAATTATTTGCAGTGACTCGGATGACTTAGTGAAAACTATTTCTTTGCAGTGTTGAATAGCAAGACTAAAGGTAAACTCTATTTAGGAAGCATTAGTATGAAAGAGAAGACAGACAAGGCAGGCCTTCTTGCGGTAGCTGTGCCATTGGATCTGATAGATCAGAATCCCATTACTGTTCTGCTCCGAGCTACCATTGTAAGTGCTAGATACTATTGTCCATAGCTGAATGAAAACGTCAAGTAGGAATCTCCTGTGTCATTAGAAGCTCATTTTCTTAGGCTAATGCAGGCATAAGTCTGTTTTCCCGTCTTGACGCTCCTGCTTTCTCCTTTCTGGCCCCTCCTTGTCCCCCTGTGCAGACCCACCTAGTGAATAGACTTTGGCCCAGGATTTCCTCTTCGCTAATTTGTGGTTCCTGTTGTTGCAACTAAGCAAATTACTTTTTTAGAGATTTTTTTTGAGGGTCTGTTCTACAGTTTAGTTCATTCAAAGAAATTAGAATCTGTTACCCTGTGTTATATAGCTTTCTTTAGACTTTGTCATGGGATGGTAAAAGGGAAGCCAGGGAAGTTTCTTTTGTCCAGTTTGCAAAACAGAAAAGCTTTAAATGAGATACTGTAGCTAAAGGGAAGAGGGGAGGACACTAATCTTTTATTGAGCAGCTACTGTGTGGTCACATTGATTCTCCTATGTGATCCAAATCAGTAGCTCTCAGCTGGGCGGTGAGTTTGCCACCCAGGGGTCACTTGGTGATGTTGGAGACATTTTGATTATCATTTACTGGTGAGGTGCTCTTGCATCTAGTGAGTAGAGGCCGAGGCTGATACTAACCAATGTACAGAACAGCCCCTCGTGAAGTTATCTGCCCTGCATGTTAGTCTATGCTGAGGTCTGAGAAACCTGATTTACATGAATCCTCCTTCTTTGGAGGTGGGGTGTTTTAACCATGTTTTTGTTTACAGATGAGAAACACGTAGCTGTGATTAGGTTCCCGGGTGCATCTCCCCCCAGAGGCTGAGCTTTTTCACCATTCATCCTTTATTGCAATTGCTCGCCTACTACATTGAGTCTTCCACTGTTCTCCAAGGTTGAGACAGGATGTGTCTGGTTTTATGCCACAACATCATGTTGGTATGACACTGCCTGGTGTTCTGCGTGGCGCCAGCCTGCAGCTAAAGAAGTAGCCTGACCCTAACTCAGTAACCCATGAGGAGCATCCTGCTTAGGGAGTCAAAGTTCAGGATTCATGGAACATGTCTCTAGATTATAAGGGAAAACGAGTGACTTGGATATTACTGTTGAGCGTTTTCTATTTCAGTCTGTGCATTTGTTCTTTTAACTTTACAAGTTTAAACTACGTTCCTAACGTCTGCCTAGGAGATGGAGTATTCCCACTTCATGAAAGCATGGTGTTATTAAAAAGTGCCCTTGTAGTACCAAAAAATACCAATAGAGGGTAGCAAAAAACCGTCATTTCTTTAAAGTATGGTGGCTTTTCATCTGATAAATGCCTTAATGTAATTTTTCTGTTTCAGGTCCAGATATTTGGAAGTTTTAAAACTGGCCTGTATTTACCTACTAGGTTAGTACATTTTTGAAGCTTTCAGGAGATTGTGCCCTTTTCTAGAGTGTATTCGTTTTGGCTGTTGAATGTGGACGAGGAAGAACAAAACAGATTTACAGAATGAAAATTTACTTTATATGTATTTTATTTGAATTACCTTGGGGGTAGAACTTCACTTCAGATGATCTTCTCAAACTGGTATCTGTGTCATCTCAGATAGATGTAAAGGGAACATGTAGCAGTGGAATCAGTTAACAGTTGCCCTGCCTGCAGAGAACTGTTCACTTCCATAACTTAACCCACCAACACAGAAGCTGATGCAATATTATAGCAAAACACCTGATTATACTGTAGAGCCGCATTCACTTTGGAATGGCAAGTCTGTCATTTCTTATTAAGAACTCCTACTATTAGATTTGTTCTCGCATCCTGACGCGGAGCTTCAGGGTACAGACTCTTGTCTGAGGAAGGCCCCTTATTAATGTTCGTCTTCTTCAGTGACGGCAGTCATGGCCCTACAGCCTGGGGCAGGGCAGGACCTTTTGGGGATGATAAGGCTTCCCCAAGGCGTGAATACCTGTCTTGTACAAACTGAAATTTCATCATGTATTTGTTTTTGGTTTTATTATGGTAAGAACGCTTAATGTGAGATTTAACCCCCTAACAAATTTTTGAGTGTGCAGTACAGTATGATTTTAACTACGCATCCATCATGATTTTGGATTTGAGCTTAATTTGATCTACTTTACCCAAATTTAAAATAAACGTGTTGATGTGGATGGATCCTGGCAATTTCTATTCTGCCCATTGCTATCGTAGGTAGGCCTGTGGAAACCATAAAATATTCAACTTTGAGTTCATGAATATTTTTCCTTATTTAGATTCTGACTTTGAGCAAAACCCTGTGTCACTCTAAAAAATTTAATTGAATTTTAGGAATAGGTAATATATTCACATAGTTCAGACTGAAAAGGACACAAAAAATTACAAGTGATAAATGTGGATCCCACCTCTGTCCCCTGCTGCTTGGAGGAGCCCCAGGTACCAGTTTCTCACACATCCTTGCAGGAACATTTTATACCTAGAATAGGAAGTGTGTGTGTACTTTCTTCCTTTGTTACACAGGTGGTAACATTCTAGATAAACCATTTGCAACTTGCTTTTTACACTTAATAATCTAAATCAGAGTTAATTAATTAGTTCGTCTCATCCACGTAACAACATCATATGTTTTTTAGTCCCAGAAACCTTTATGAACAGGAAACATTCACTGGTATTTTTTGAGGTTTTAACTTCTTTCAAAATCACCGTTTCCTGAGGCCTGACTTGTGTGAAATGACAAGGAAGAGGAGGTTGTTAAAGTTCCCAGCCTCCACTTCTGCTCTAAAAAACTACCAACAGCACATTTAGTCTTATTGGGCAGTGTGAGAAATAGGCTTTAGTTGCACTTTGAAGTCTGTAAGCCTGAATGCAAGTGAAAACAAGTACAGTTTCTTCTTCAAACAACTTTCGTGTGTGTGTTCTGTGTTCAGTGACATTGATCTTGTGGTATTTGGGAAGTGGGAGAACCTTCCCCTCTGGACCCTAGAAGAAGCTCTTCGGAAACATAAAGTTGCAGATGAAGATTCGGTGAAAGTTCTGGACAAAGCAACTGTAAGTTCTTCCAGCATTTCATCTTAAAATCTCTAGTTACTTACTCATGAAACTTCCAAAGTTAAAATTTAATTTTGGAGAGCATAGTTGGGCTCTCAGTGAATGATTCTTTGGTTTTAATGATCACACTACATTATGTGAAAGAAATGAACTTGTTGTGGGTTACATGTTTCTTTAAAATATACTGCTCCATTTTATCATACATAATACTGTGGAGTTTTTAAATATAAAGAAGCGTAAACAAAAATACGGATATCTATTAAGCAGTTTATAGTTACACAGAAGAGGTTACTCTTCTCTCTTACTTTGTGTCCTTAAAAAATTCTTCATACAAGCTGGCCCTTAAACAACATGGGGGTTAGGGGCCCCAACCCCCACATGGGTAAAAATCCACATGTAACTTTGGACTCCCCAAAAACTTAACTACTGAGAGCTTTCTGTTGACTGGGTTACTGATAACATAACAGTGATTAGCACATATTTTGTGTGTTACATGTATTAAGTAGTATATAATGTTCTTACAGTAAAGTAAGCTAGAGGAAAGAAAATGTTAAGAAAATCATAAGGAAGATATAGTATTGTATAAAATTGTGTAAAAGTGGAGCCACAAAGTTTAAATCTGTGTTGCTCAAAGGTCAGCCATAATTGAAATTTTGTGAGTCAAGCAACTTGATATTTTAACTCTATCTAGAATGGCCATTAAAGAACTTTCTTAGATGCTCTTTATAGAAATAAATTTATCTATTTGAGAGGTTTGGAGTTTTGTATATTAAGTTTTCTTAAAACAAAACAACTCATACTATTTCTTATAAAAAGCTATTAATTTGAAAAACCCAGTTCTGCACATAGTTTGCTGGCCTGAGTTTTCTAATACATGGTGCAAATAGACTTTTTTTTTTTTTACAAAAAAATGTTTTAAATGTTTGTTTATTTTGAGAGGGGGAGGGGCAGAGAGAGAAGGAGAGAGACAGAATCCCAAGCAGGCTCCAAGCTCAGCATGGAACCCAACATGGAGCTTTCCCATGACCGCAGGACATGACCTGAGCCAAAACCAAGAGTTGAAAACTTAATCGACTGAGCCACCCAGCCTTTTTTTTTTTTTTTTGAGAATTTCTAATATCTCCTATAAACCACCCAGTCATTTTTTATTTGAGGATAATTTTCGTGTTTTAACTTCTCTTGGTATGTTGTTTTATGAGCTATTTGCAAAACTGACCAATAATACCAATAATTAACAGACTTAATAGAGCAGATTTCTTATTAGAACAATTTGCTGATACACCCAACATTAATCACAATGACTGAGTTGGAAACTGTTGTCCAGAGTACAAAATGTTGAGAAAGGTTTTTGTTACCTGATTTCAAAATTCTCAACCAATAGAAATGATAATATACACAGCATGAGGCTCCATGCTAAATACGTGAAATATCTAGAAGTCCGTAGTAATCAGAACACTAGAGTTTTTCTTTCCTTATGAGGAGGCCAAGGCCTCGAGTTTAGTAACCTTTCCCATCCCCTGGTGTGTTATTTAACTTTGTCCACATATTTTAATTTTGCCTTTTTTCTCTTTTTAGGTACCTATTATTAAATTAACAGATTCTTTCACTGAAGTGAAAGTTGATATTAGCTTTAATGTACAGAATGGCGTGCGAGCAGCTGACCTCATCAAAGATTTTACTAAGGTCAGAGAATTCATAGTGTTTATACAGTGAAACTACTAGAAATGGAGTTTTGCTTTGCGATTGTGTTGTGGTATTTTGATATACTTCACTAAACTATATTTATGTGTGTATTGCTGACAGATGCTTTTCTGTGGAATGGTTTTACTCTCCTTAAATCTGCTTGTAAGAATCTGTAATGTGACTTAAGGTTAAGAGTTGGGAAAGCTTTTGGAAGAACTTCTCTGCTCTAGGTCCTTCCTTTTAGGGAGATAAGGGCTGAAATCACGCTGAACAGTTGATTCTTGTCACCTGCTTTAATCTCTTAAGAGTTTAGGTGAGGCACCTCCCCAGGCCCCCATGTCACCTATAAGGTAGTTTCCACAGGTTTCCTTACTTTGTCTTGAACTGATAGAATGTCTGTTTTCATTTGTTCCGTGTTCTGACAAGGTGGGTAAGAAATTGTCAACACTTTCAGAGCATTCACATGCTTAGACACGGCAGCCTTTTTCTCATGAAGCTAAAAATGTTAACTGCTTTGGTTTATGTAGAATATCTTTTCTGTCCAGTCACAATACTTTTATCAACTCTACAAATTCACCTTTTTCTTTTCATGTAAAAAAAAAATTTAACTACTTTATTGTGTTGTAAATACTATATTCTCATATAAATGTGCAGAGTATAGAAAAACAGAAAAAGAAAAATACTGTCCATAATTCCACTCTTTTTGGAGGTGTTGGGTGTATGTAAATTTTCTTTTTCCCAGAAAAGAAACCTTTTTTTAAAAATTGAGAATAATGTGTGTGATGGAGAGTTTATCACTATCAAAGGAAAACAAAAGGCAAGTCGCCTTATACCTCATGTGCTTAGATCAGTTTCATGGGATTTGCCATCATCAACCTTTTTTAGAAGAACTTTTTAAAATGTTTATTAAAAAAATACATGTGCACTCGCATATGATCAGGGGAGGGGCAGAGAGAGAGAGGGAGACACAGAATCTGAAGCAGCTCCAGGCTCCAAGCTGTCAGCACAGAGCCCGACGCAGGACTCAAACTCACAAACCATGAGATCATGACATGAGCTGAAGTAGGACACTTAACCAACTGAGCCACCCAGGCGCCCTGATCATCACCCTTTCTCTTTTGGTTGTTTATCTTCTTGAAATTTTTAACAAAAGAAATAGTGTACTGTGTACACATTGTCTTATACTTAATGTATCAGCACAGACAGGTTTCCTTCATTCTTTTCCTTGACGACATAATAATCCTTTGTCAGCACATGTCATGCTTTGTGTAGCATTCCCCTAGTGATGTTTCTGGGTTTTTGGTTTGTTTGTTTTTTTGCCATTGCAGAAAGTGCTTGAACATCCTTCCATACCTGCATCTTTCTTTACATTTGTAAAATGTTTGTAGGAAGATTCTGAAAGTCGAATTTCACAGTCAGAGGATATATGCAGATCAAATTCTGTTGGAAATTTGCTTGGTTGTTCTTTAAAGGGACTGTCTCTTTATGACTTCAACCATAGTGTTTAAAAATGATGATTTCTCCGTAGATTTGTTATTTCTCATGCTTGCTTACTTTGACATGATTTGCAAAAGTACAGACTTTTTTCTTCTGGAAGCAGTATGTGTTCATTCAGAGTGTCAAGAACAAACTTAGAAATCACTAGTAATTCTACCACTCCTAGGTAATGGCTGTTAAGACCTTTTTCTAGATATTTGGGCCTGCTTGCTGTATTCCCCTCAGCGTCTTAACCTAAGGCCTGGCTTGTGGAAAGCACTTAATGAGCGTGTGCATGAATGAAAGACGGACTCACCCTGGTCATGTTTGCCAGCTCAGGTGTCCTTATCGTCTCTGTAAAGTGTGGAAGGTGCGTTCTATGTGTGGTCACCTGCCCGCGTAGAAGGTGCGTTCTGTGTGTGGCCACCTGCCCATGTGGAAGACGGCACGCAGGACCCCTTGGGCCCCTGCTCTGGGGCTGTGCATAGTCATCTTAAGGACCCTGGTCTGTTTGGTGGAGGGCCACCCAGGAAAAGTGATTCTTTAAAATCCCACTGATCTAGTACTTTACAAGTTGAGACTTTGTCCAGTACTATTAATGTTACGTGTTCACAAGGGAGTATCATATGGTAATGGCCATAAATGAATGTCATCAAATATATACTGCTAGTGTTTCTGTCCCATGGTGAGTGCTTGGATGCCATCATTTACAGCTACGTGTTTAGATCTCTAGTTGTGAGGAGAAAATCCTTAATTATTTACAGCTTACTTTTTATAAGCTCTTCAAATAGGAAACTGTGTTGGATATCTGCACTAAAGTTTATAATGTAAGGACCAGTTTATGCTCCTTGTTGATGCTTAGTGCTATTACTGATAAAGGAATTCACTGAAAATATAACTTTCTTTTTCAGAAATATCCTGTATTACCATACTTGGTTTTAGTATTGAAGCAATTCTTATTACAGAGGGACCTTAATGAAGTATTTACAGGTGGAATTGGTTCTTATAGTCTCTTTTTAATGGCAGTCAGTTTCCTTCAGGTAAGTTATATGATTATACCATGCCTAGTGTACACTAAGATAAAATTTAAAAATCCATCGGGGAATCATTTTGGAAAAAATTTTAAATCAGGCTCTAATTGGAATGCTTCCCTTAATTACTTACGTCTTTTCGCTTTAAAGTGGGACTTTTTATAATTTAACAAACAAGTATTTTTAAACCCTAGGAAAGAACTTTTGGTTTATTTTTAACCCCATACGTTCTAGTGGTTTTAAGGATTTTCATTCAAATTTTAACATGCATAGGTATGGCATGGTTTTCATAAGTGTAAATAGTAGTATAAATGCCAAAAATAGTATCTTCTAAGCAGCGACTCTTGGAAGTTGGGCTGGAATAGAGATCCGCTATCTGGGTGGAATGAGTTAGAAGCCTTACCGTTGTCTGTGAATGAGTTTATGAGGCGAGTGTTGCTGACAGTGAGTCAGTGAGTCAGAACGATTCCCTGCCGCCTTGGGCCAACCCAGCCTCATTAGCATCCTGGGACAGCTGTGAAATTCGGCCTTGAATTTTGTAAATAAATCATCCCCACCAGTTCTGTACCAGTGGGGCTTCAGTGTGGTCTGGAGCAGCAGGACAGCCCTCTGTTACCCCATTTCCCTGTTGGCTGCTAGCCTCGCCAAAATGCCACGAGTATTGTCTTATAGAAGTGAAGATGTCACTTATTTTCCCCACCTTGGTGATTGACAGAAAATCCAATATAATTTCTTTTTTTTTTTTTTTTTCCTGGTTTTAGTTACATCCCAGGGAAGATGCTTGCATCCCCAATACAAACTATGGTGTTCTTTTAATAGAATTTTTTGAATTATATGGACGACACTTCAATTATTTAAAGACTGGCATCCGGATAAAGGATGGTGGTTCGTATGTGGCCAAAGATGAAGTACAGAAAAATATGCTCGATGGCTACAGGCCATCGATGCTTTATATTGAAGATCCTTTACAACCAGGTATTGAAATTAGGTAAATTTGTGGGCATTCAAAGAAAGGGCATTGTTGGTGCTTTACTTTAAACTCTCTTTAGAGGAGGGGCACCTGGCTGGCTCAGTCGGTGGAGCGTGCAACTCGATGTTGGGGTCAGGAGTTTGAGCCCCATGTCGGGTATAGGGATTACTTAAATAAAATCTTTAAAAAATCCCCACAATTCTATTTATTTATTTTTAATTTTTTTTTACATTTATTCATTTTTGAGAGACAGAGACAGTGCAAGTGGGGAAGGGGCAGCCAGAGAGAGGGAGACACAGAATCTGAAGCAGGTTCCAGTTTCTGAGCTGTCAGCACAGAGCCCGACGGGGGGCTTGAACTCACAAGCAGTGAGATCATGACCTGAGCCAGAGTCGGACTCTTAACCCACTGAGCCACCCACGCGCCCTTCCACAGTCTCTTTAGATGAAAATAAAAGATTAACTTCTAATGGTACTTATTATTTTTCCTCAAAACATCTTGTAAGAAAACATGAAAACACAACACACACGGCAGAAAAACACACCACGTACTCCCAGTGAGTTGGGAGTAGAGGCCACTTGACCCTGAGAGACAAAGGAGTATAGGTATTAGCTGTTGGGTGGCTTGTGTACATCTCCAGTTTACAGGCCGTCTTTCTGCTTTGTCGTGACCTCACTGACCCTGATTCCAGCCCCTTGTGAGTCAGGGCTTGAAGCAAAGCTCCTGAAGCCCTAAGAGGCAGTGCGCATGGTAATACAGCTCAGAAATGATGAGTGAAAGAGACAGCTTTCCTTTGGGGCCCCTTCTTTCCTCTTGGAATTTTGCACAGTCTCCCTGTGCCTATTCCAGCTTCACGGGGGCTTGAAGGGCATAGCATGTTCCTTCCTTGCTGTCATGGGTTGTGTTTGTTTGCTTGTATCCTAGTTTTTCTGGGCAATATTTTTTCTTGCTGTAATTGTAAAATATTTAGATTCTACATGACCAGACTTCAGTGGAGATGCTTTCAGTCATTTGCTTCACTGTGTTAACTTTGAAAATGATCAAGGAAAGGGAGTTAAGAGAGTAGTCACCTAGGGACCCTTCTCTGGCCTATTGTGCCATGTCATAAACAGTAGCTCTTCGTGTTCATTCATTGAGGAAATGTTTATTGGGAGGCTTCTCTACATAAAAGACACAAAGATTGTCAGCAAGATGGTCCTTGTTCTTCAGGCGCTTGTAATTTAGTGCTGGAGATGCTTAGATAGCTAATAGAAACAAAAGATAGCGATGTCTCATTTAGCTTGCTTTCACTCTTAGGAGAGAGCAGGCAGTTAACTCCTCTGTTTGCATGACTGTATGTGGGATGGTCCCTGTGGGGCCAGAATACATTCGGGCAGTTTCTATGCCATAATGTCCTTACTGCATGGTACACAGGTCCAGAGCCTGGGGAGCTGTGGGGATGACCGCCCGCCCTGCCCAGATTGTAGGTGCAACTGTAGCAGGAAAGCAGTTGCCTTTGCTCTTCCGGAAGAGGGCCCGTGAGCATTTAGTTCTTATTAAGCAACGGTCACACTTACTATCTTCTGTGTATGTTTCTTTTAAAGGTAATGATGTTGGAAGGAGTTCATATGGGGCCATGCAAGTGAAACAGGCCTTTGATTATGCCTATGTTGTTTTAAGTCATGCTGTATCACCAATAGCCAAATACTATCCCAACAACGAAACGGAGAGGTAAAGGCTTACCTGAAGTCAGCCCTTAGGGTCAAAATTGGTTGTGGCTTCAAATCTCCAAACTAACGTACCTCCTCTTTTTTCTTTAAACACATGCAGCATATTAGGTAGAATCATTAGAGTAACGGACGAAGTTGCCACGTACAGAGACTGGATATCAAAGCAGTGGGGCTTGCAGAATAGGCCTGAGCCTTCCTGCAATGGTAAGAGTTTTTCATTGATTGACTGACCGAGCATTAGTGGCTTTTCTGTGTTGTGTGTGTATGATGAGAAGAAACGTTTTCCAATCTTTTGCCACTCTTTCAGGAAATGGTGTTACCTTGATAGTAGATACTCAGCAGTTAGATAAATGTAATAATAATCTATCTGAAGAAAATGAAGCCCTTGGAAAATGCAGAAGTAAGACTTCAGAATCTCTTAGTAAACACTCTTCAAACTCTTCATCAGGTCCAGTGTCTTCCTCTTCTGCCACACAGTCCAGCTCTAGTGACGTCGTAAGTATGAGGACATGGCTTTTCTGAGCCTAGATGCTTAGGAGTTCTGGTGGGGGGGTAACCATCTAGGGGGCTAATAAGCTTAATTTCTTTTCTTATCTGTTACTTGGAAATTTTAATAACTTTACAGATTGTACATGTCCCAACACTGGATTAGGATTTTCTTTTTCTTTTTCTTTTTTTTTTTTTAAGTTTTTTAAGTGTTTATTTTTGAGAGAGAGAGAGAGAGAGATCGAGCACATGAGCAGGGGAGGGACAGAGAAAGAGGGAGTCACAGAATCCGAAGCAGGCTCCAGGCTCTGAGCTGTCAGTACAGAGCCCGATGCAGGGCTCAAACCCACAAACCGTGAGATCATGACCCAAGCTGAAGTCAGACGCTTAACCGACCGAGCCACCCAGGCGCCCCGGATTAAGATTTTCAAGTATACAGCAAAAGTGAAAGAATTTTAGTGAACATCCATATACATCGCCATTAGCGTGTGACTTGCTTATCCCATAGGTAGCCGTCCATCTGTTCCTTTGTCCACTAATTCATCTTGTCCTTTGATAGATTTCAAAGTAAATTACAGGCATCGATGCACTTCCCCTGAAGTACTCTAGTGTATTCATCACTAGCTAGCACTCAGTATTTGGTTCGTTTTTTTTCTTTTGATATAAAATTGACATACAAAGAAATCTTAATTGTGCATCAGTGAACGTTAACACTGTGTACACATGTGTGACCCTGACTATAACAAGATACAGACTATTGCCATCATCCCGGAGAGGTGTTTCCTGGTGCTTTCCAGCCAGTCCCGAATTCCATCCCAGAGGTAACCGTTCTTACGATTTTCTAATACCACAGATTCGTCTGGCCTGTTCCAGAATTTCACATAACTGGAATCATTATAGTATGTACTCCTTTGTGTAAGGCTTCTTCTACTCAATAATATTTTTGAGCTTCTTGATTGGATTTTTTAAAATTGAGGTATAATTCGCATAACATAAAGTAGTATTACTATTTTAAAATACACGGTTTAATAGTTTTCAGCCTATTTGGTGTTGTGCAGCCATTGCCACTATCTAAGTCCAGTATATTGCCATCGCTCCAGAAAGAAACCTGTCAGCCACCTCTGACCATCCCTCCCTGCCCCAAATCTCCTGGCAGCCCGTGCTTTCTGACTAACCTACAGTTATACCTGCAGTTACTGTTCCTCATCAGGGTTAATTTTGAGTGTACTTCCTTGAGATATGCAGTGGGCTTACCCATTATTTGAATTTTGACTCATTAAGTCTGTGACATGTAGAGCAATCTGACTGTGGAAGGGACATCATTTTCTGTTGTTGGCGATGACCACAGATTGTAATGAAATCACGAATCCTCATACCCACAGTCTACCCGTAGTGTGCCTCTTTCATTCCTAGAGGAGAGTTCTGGAGGACAGAGCTGAGCCAGAGGTCACAGACACAGTGGGGCGGACATAGAGACAGCCTCAAGAGGGCGCTTTAGGGACTAAGAGTGTGAAGGTGAAGGGTAGACCTGGGCAGAGAAGTAGCACTGTCTTGGCCCAGGCAGCCTGGGACCGGAAGGGGCTAAGCCCATCGTCTCTGGGAAGTTCTTAGCCACTGGCGCGCTCACTGATTATTTATCACAGACGTGCAGAAATTGAGCCTTTTGAACCAGTCGTTTTATATTTGGTTGAAGACATGCAGTCCGGGACCTGGGACCTTATCTTTGCCTTGCTCTTTGCACTGTAGCATGAGGTTCATTTCCTGTCAGTGGAAGTGCAGATAAACTTGGACTCCTGTGAGCCCCTTGTAGGCCGATTAACAAGGTGAGGCCTGGGCACTAGATTTAACAATGAACAGAAACCCTCTGATAAAATAAGCCGCTTCAGGTGTTTGGAGGGAACTTCATGGAGAAAAACACAAGCAGTTAATTTTGTCCATTTGTTAGGGTGCTTCCCTTACCTCCCAGAGGGTTAAATTTAGTCCGAAAGAGTACTTAATTGAAGTTTTCCTTCATGTTGAATATCTGAATTATTAATATATCGCATAATAACTCATATGACTTACGTTAGGATTCCGACGCGACACCGTGCAAAACCCCGAAGCAGCTGCTCTGCCGTCCATCCACTGGGAACCGAGTAGGGTCACAGGATGTGTCCTTGGAATCCTCCCCGGCGGCTGGGAAAATGCAGAGCACGCAGACCAGTAACACCTCCAACAGCACCAACAAATCTCAGGTGTGTGGAATTTGTGTTGTTAATTGTCTGCATTCAGTACAGACGATTTAGAGTCTCTCAAGCGTGAATATATGTACACATTGTGAGTTTGAAGAAAACTCTAGGTTTGAAGAACAAGCCTATTTTGTTCTAAGAGGTTCCAAAGCACAATGCTTCCTGTAACAGGGTGTCCTGAAGATCATTACGAGACACCCCTACAATGGAAGCCTTTGTGGGCGTTTAATGACTGGTCCTTATAAGATGTCCCAGCCATCCCACCTTATTACAGATTCAGCATTTAAACAATTGCATCGAGCTTTAAAAAGATTCAGTTGTACTTGAAGTAAGCCCACACAAAGCTTTTGCATGACCTCATGGCAGTGTTGTGCATATCTGGGAGTAATAGATCCTCTTATATTTTCTTTATTATATTTTTAATGTTTACCTTTTTTATATTTAAAAAGAATTTTTTAAATGTTTATTTATTTTTGAGAGAGAGATATAGCGCAAGCAGGGGAAGGGCAGAGAGAGAGGAAGACACCGAATTTGAAGCAGGCTCCAGTTTCTGAGCTATCAGCACAGAGCCCGACGCAGGACTCAAACCCACGGACCATGGAATCATGACCTGAGCCAAAGTTGGACGCCCAACCGACTGAACCACCCAGGCGCCCCTACCTTTTTTATATTTTAATATTCAGTACCTGGTTGCTTGTGTTGAAATGATCAGACAGTGGGTCAGCCGTGGTCCGTCAGTGAGCATCAGCTTTGACTTAGGCCACAGAGAATACTCTATTTTCAGTTTTGTGGTTGTCTAAAATTTTATTAATCATGAGCAATAAATCAGAATGAGGAAAGAAGCCATTTCATACTGAGCTCTGACCTAAGGCCATCTCACCCTCTCTCAGTACAGTGGGGACCCGGGAAGGCCCCTTGGCAGTAGATAGAGATGCACTGTTATGTTGGTCACCTCATGTCTGACATGACTCCCAGGATCCACTTTACCTATACAGCCTTGGTCATGTGCACCAAACACAGATCTGCTTAGAAACAGCAATAAAGTGGCAGGCGATAGCAGGATGTAAGATGACTGTGACCTGACCACGATCAGGAAACCGTGTGACCCCTGACCTAGCAGCACACCTTTGTGTCTAAGAGCTTTCCGTGATGCCATTTATTATGTGGTGTATTGATTGATAGGTTCCTTGAGAAAAGTTTTACATTCTGTAAACTCTGAAGAGGGTGAGGCAGGGAAGGCAATGGTCTGTGTTTTCCGATATTTCCATTCAAAAAAAAAATATAAAAGTTTTAGAGCTCAGGAGAGTGAGCCCCTGAAACATTGTTTTGTGCCTGTTAGCTGACCCGGCATATTCCTCGTGTGAAAGCTCCCTGAGTCGGGTCTTAGTGAGTGCCCCACTGAATTCACAGTACTGATGTGTCTTTGACCGCTCTTTTTCTCTGCAGCATGGATCAGCACGGCTCTTCCGTTCTTCCAGCAAAGGCTTCCAAGGTACAACTCAAACAAGCCATGGTTCCTTGATGACAAACAAACCGCATCAAGGCAAATCAAATAATCAGTATTACCATGGCAAAAAGAGGAAACACAAGAGGGATGCCCCCCTCTCAGACCTTTGTAGATAGTCGGCGTTGTGCAATGGACTGTCTTCTGTGTGCAGTGGTCTCGTGCTCAGGACAGTTGGATAGGGACTCCTGGCACTCGGGAGCCTTACACTGTTCAGACTTTGATTTAGCAACTGCGTTTTTTCCCAGCTCGCCACGGAATGGATCATGAAGACTGACAACTGCAAAAACAAAAAGCAAGCAAAAAAGGGGGAAAAAAAAAAGGCTGCTCATTTGATAAGTCATATGCTACAACAGGGTCATTTTAAGATTTAAAGCTTGAATGTAAAATAAATATATTTCTCATTGGCTTTATGCAGAGTTATAGGGAATAGTATTCAGGGTGGGTGGGGTGATAGGAACAAAACCCAATTTCAGAGGACGGGGTGGGGAGAGAGGACAGAGGTATCTCATAGGAAGTCCAGATTCCAAAGGGGAAAGTGATCTGTGCATGTTCGTTTTTTTTTTTAATATTTTTGCATATATTTACCATTTTATTGTGTGTATATATAGATGACCATATAGGAAATTGATATTTGTAATAGTGGATTTGTTAATACTTTTTACATAACATTACTGTTTAAATTGTAAACAGATTTTTTCTCAGGATTAGTTTGAAAAATAATCTGAATTGTCATCTTAACATCCATATATAGGGAAGTGATTAGTTCTGTTACTCAATTCGTTTTCCTCAGCATTGAAATGACTTACTCTAGAACCCTTGTGACCTGCTGCAGAAATTTTTCCTCCCTAAAGAAAAGGTTTATGGTGGCAAATGACGTTTTATTTTGTAAAAAAAAAAAAAAAAAAAAAAAAAAATAAAAGAACAAAAAAAAGAAAAAAATGTACTATGTACTTTTGTGTAAACACTGAAAAAGCGCTAGTCATCTCTAAGAATTAACTTGCAACTGTTTTCTATAGTGCTGTCGTCTTGGGCAATGGGCAATTACATGACTTTGTGTCTGTTTCCTTTGCNGAATTGTCATCTTAACATCCATATATAGGGAAGTGATTAGTTCTGTTACTCAATTCGTTTTCCTCAGCATTGGAGCCGCTTACTCTAGATTCCCATTGACCTGCTGTGAAAATTTTTCCTCCCTAAAAAAGATGTATGTTGGGACAAATGACGTTTTATTAAAAAAAAAAAAAAAAAAAAAAAAAAAAAGATAAAAGAACAAAAAGAAGAAAAAAATGTACTATGTACTTTTGTGTAAACACTGAAAAAGCTCTAGTCATCTCTAAGAATTAACTTGCAACTGTTTTCTATAGTGCTGTCGTCTTGGGCAATGGGCAATTACATGACTTTGTGTCTGTTTCCTTTGCAGTCTCGTTTTGTTTTGTTTTTCTTCCTAATAGGGAAAAAAAAAAAAAAAGGCCTCCCACGTCCAGTCCCATTCCTGCTGCCGTGAAAGCCCGTGTCCCACAGACTTTGCATGCTGGCTCCTAACCCTGTGTGTGGCGTGTGCTTGGTTTCCTCGTCTCCTCTTCTTTTCTAAATCCATGCTTAACTACTGTGGGAGAGAATAACTGTAAACAGCTTTAATTAAATCATACTTATAAAAAACTATTTTCTTATACTCCACTTTATGCTTTTGGTATTGTTGATCTTTAAAAATTAAATGGTCTTTGATAATGGATCTATTTTGTATTGCCTTATTAAGACCAAATACTTCTTGTCATCCCATTCTTTATCCTCTCCTTCCATGGAATTGTTATCTTTAATTAAAACTTTTTAAAACCTTGGCTTGTTTCATTCATACTGTAAATTTTGGTTGTGGTCAGCTTTGAGCGCAAATGAGATGTATAATTCTGTTACCCATCACATGTTGAGTCTGAAACTCTTGAATGTTGACGATAATAGGATGTAAGAGACATTTCTGAAAATGCTTTCTTTCAATGTGAAGGCTCTTGTGTTTTTCATCAGCGTGTGTGGCTCTGTTAATTACAGCCATTTGGGAAATGAGATTCTTATATATATATATATATGTATATATATACATATATATATATATATATAAAGTACTATTGGCTTTTAGGAATTTCTTTTATATACATTTATGAAATACTGAAGACCAATCAGACCATTAATGGACACTTAGTGCAACTTTTTATAAAGAAAATAATGCTAAAGTAAGACCAAAACTGATGTCATCACTGAAATTGACAGTTTTCAATATGTTCGTATTTTAATTCACGACGGGAAAATGTGTTCCACAACTGGAAACTCATGATACTTGTGTAAATCGTGGAAAATTTTAAATGTGATGTTATTTTGACAATGTTTTGAATTTTAGAGTCACATTTTATTCTGATCAGAATTTTTATCAAGATGTTGAGCTTTTGTGTTTTGCAACTAGTTTGTCATAACATATTGTGCTTAATCACAGTATTTATTTTCTAGGACTATTGTGAATGTGTAGACTTATGTTTACTGCTAAGGGAACAATTATTTATAAAATGATATTAAATCCAGTATTAGCTGCCTATTTCAGACACTTAATACTTGCAGAGATCCATTGTTACATTTACCACACTGAAGTTTTGTTTTGTTTTGTTTTGTTTTAAGAATCACCCTCATTGTTGAAAGTAAATGTACTCTTAGGGTGCAGATATTAGCGTTCCAATAAGCATGTGATTATATTAAGGTGGTGGTAGCGGGAAGATAATCTTGATTCCATTGGGAATCTTAGGTTTTCGTAAATTTATTGGGAAAATAGTTTTTCCTGTACTGCTGAAGTTTCTTTTTGGTAAACAGTATCTTTCTAAAAGAAAAAGCATGAAGGAGAAATTGAGGTGTGTACATATCCTCAAATGACCAGCATTGTATTCGTGAATACTGTGTATCTTGCAATGAACAGTGTGGAAGCTGTTCATTTTTCAATCTGAAGTAAAATACTTTCAAGAACTTTTAGTTTGCCTGCTCATTTGTTTTGTACATTTCATCTCTGTATTTGACTCCTGTCTTTTTTTCTTTTTTGAATTTTAATACTTTCTATGAAGACTTTGTGAATATATCAGAAATGTGTCACTTAAATATTACGGTCCATCCATACTCATGCGTCATAACCTTCCTTTGCTCGTACTTGTAGAGTGGGATTTCACCGATTCTGCATCCCTGTGGCGACATTTCTCGGGCAGTCATGTATGTGTGCCTGGTCGGTGTTGGAGCTCCTTGAAAAGTTATGATAAACATTTCGGTACTGGTTTTCAGACGTGCTGATGGGTCACGGACACGTCAGCATAGAACCTGAATGGTTATGTTTGGATGATGAAGGTAAATGCATTTTTTTCCCTGCAGTTCTAAGGTGTCTGGTTTGTAGCGTCTTCGTCTTGTTTGGAGATGTTGCATGTGGTTTTCAGACCTCGCTTTGCTCTCAGGATCTACTGCTTTTACATGTAGTTGCCCTCCGGGCTGCAACAGTTGATCATATTATTTTTTATTTTTGGTCCAGTTTTGAGTGTGTTTTACCTTTACTTGCATTTTGAGCCTGTCATTAATACTTGGGTTATTTGCTCTGGCTCCAGATATTCCTGGGTAAAGTCTTCACAGGGTAAAAACATGTTTGCTAGGGAGAGCATTACCAATAGTCTTTCTCCTTTGAAGTCTCGTACGTCTGTATGTTTTCTTGTTCCTTCCCTCATGTCATGGTTAGCGTGAGTTGTGTTTGTCTTAGCCTATGGACTCGTGTTTGGGGTTTGCAGAGCTGTAGGCCGGCCAGGAGACAGGATGGCCATGGTGAGCTGCGGGGCCCTATTTAGTGCAATGTGTTCATTGCAAAGACCTCCCCACTGATCAGGATGTAATAGTTACCAAGGTTGCTCTGTAGAAATCCCTAGAAATCACCATTATTGGGTGTTATTGATAAGTTTTGCTGAGGGTTTTTTTTTTTTTTTTTTGGTTCATGGTTACATCCCAATTTTATTTTAGTGTTGACGTATAGTTTGAAACTGATCGGTTCCTTCGAGTATTACATGCTGTCGATTTCTCAGTGTTGCAGTCATTAACTAGGAATGTTAATAGCAGGTTGGTTGCTTCTCAGTCAACTTTTTAAAAATTAAGTGGTCACATATAAAAAAAGGCATTCCCAATTTTCCTGTGATAAATATTGAAATGCTAAATTAATGATCAGAGGAGTTTATCCTCATCCATCAGTTCTTGCTCTCTGAGCTCCTTTTAAATGGCTTTGATTAGTGGACAGCAGCAACATTCTCATCAAGTATATTGGGAGGGAAGTAATTCCATAAATGGCTCTGTTGAACTTAATTGAGCAGAAAGTTATATTTAATAGTTACTCTTTATCCTAATTGTCACCAGTGACCTCATTCATCTAGCAATGTATTTAGAGTGGTGCAGCATCTCAGTGGGAACAAACGTGTAAATGCAGCTCTTGGAAGTGACGTCTCTATCTTGCCTCAGCTTCTGAACCTCGGACTCTGTTTTGTCACAACATTTATGGGTGGCATGAACGTTACAAACACAAATCTTAATATACTGCATGATATTTAACATAACTGAGAAACAAGTCCGAGTTGACCGCGGAAGTTACTAGCATGGCTCGAAAACTGGACGTAACCCAGAAGCCTTGTTCTTTACCGTCCCCTCATGAGCTGTTTTAACTTTACGCCTTGAGCAACTTTTTTTCCCATCAAAGATAATGACCTAAATATCTGTATAAATTGGATGTTGGCAGAATTATTAAGCAGAGGAATTGCTTATAAACTCTGCTGATGTATTTGACATCCAGAATTAAATATTTACCTAAGGGCAGTTTTTCAGTTAATACACTGCTAATGTTTGTTTTACTCTTAGGCAGGGTTTTTGATTTTAAGTATTTGGTCTTTACATTTTCTACTTCAGTGTATGCCCTATTAAGTGTAATCTAGTCCCCAGAAGGAGAGAACACCATAGAAGAGACTGAACCAGACAGATGGAGATAGTGCCTCCCCTTTGGTGGTTATGAACTTGAGGAAGGTCCAGGACTTACTGAGAGAAATGTTAGCCATATCACTAAGAACAGATAATAACAGGCAGTCTCTTAATTTGTGTGTTTTCAGCAAAAGTATTTGTTGGTATTTGCACATCATCTTTATTTTTGTATTCTAACGTAAGCCTTTGCGGTTCTCCATGGCCTTGGCTCCTGGTCAAAGCAGCAGTTTCCACGCGGCCTGATTACAGGTCGGGTCTCTGCTAAGGAAACAGTCTGGATGAATTTGTGAGGAATGTTGTTTTACCTTCAAGATGCTGTAGTAATGAGAGCTTGTGAAGTCTCCGTCTCACAAGCGAGGCATCGCAGGAACCGTCGGGTGGGTGGGAAGGGGAGACAGAGGCCTCGGAGAAGCAATAGCAAAGCCAGTGACCTGGTGAAGCTGATTGAGTCCCTGTCTCTTGTGGATTAGTCATCTGTACCTTCTAGAGAGAATGAGATTATTTATCGGCCAGATTCTTTGAGTTGAAATTTATCTCCCCTTTCAACTTGGGTTCTGTGCAGTTCATGGCTGTTCCCCTAAATCATTTCGTGATTACCTTTTATATTTGGTTGCAGTCTGTCATAACTTGTCTGTCATAACAAGTGTCTTCTTGTCCCTAAACGGAAATCTCCGAAATGTAAGCTCCTTCTCTGGTTTTTATAGATCTGAATTTTAATTTTTTAAAAAGAGCCTTTTGAAAGTCCCATAATCCTAAAATATTCCGAAGACTTATTACTATTACAAGTGTCAAAGTCCTCACTGCACTCCCCACTAAACAGCACTCTCTCCCGCACAGTCTGAATGGTTGAAAATACAGTTTCTGGCTATAAAACGTGAAGGGCTATTGAGATAAACATCTTCTAGTGGAATATTCATAGATGTATATAGTTAGAAGTTTGGTAAGCCAGTATTTGTTTTTAATAACCTTTTCATTTATTTCCTTCTCTGATTAGCATTGCCTTCTGTTGTAAGAAATGTGGACCCCTGTGAGGTGCTGGAGGTTTGACTCATCCTGAAAGCTTTCCACTCTTGTCTAGTTACTGCTGCAGAGGCACTAAGGAATTTACCAGAAAAAGAGATTTGATACAAAATGATTTATGAAATCTCGACATTTCCTGAGGTCATATCACTGGGCACCAGTTACCAATACTATGAATGAATGGCACACCTGGAAGTTTGTTTTTTGTTTTTTGAGCTCACGACGATTTCTTCAAAGATGTCGATTGTTTGCCTCGAAAATTTTATAAATTGCATTTCTACGCACATCTGGCCCCAGTGCTTACCATTGGGCTTATTATTCATAATCTGCGATTCAATAAAGGCTTTGTGCTTTCATTTATCTTCAAAACCGCTGGTATGAGCCTTAATGTAAAGACTTGAATGGCTATTTAAAAAACTATCTCGTAATTCTAACGACGGCCCTGTTTAGACCAATGAGAGGTTTTTCTGTACACAGAGAGGATTTCTGTGGGCGTTCAGCCTTTGTAACGCCAGTCGTGGAGTGGGAGATGCTTTCAGCTGGTGTTTTCTCTCCTGCCCCGTCTCCACAGCCACTGCAGGACTGAAACCAACCCCCTACAGTCTGTTTATTCGCAAATACCACCCCTGTGCTTTGACGCAGGGGTTATGCTTGATGTGCTAAGAGGTTGAGACACTTTACCGGAGGTTTTGTGGAGCCACAAGTTACACAGACTGTGAAAATAGAATAATGAAAATGTCTGGTTCTGCAAAGAACAGAGAAAGAAGTAGGGTTAATGACCAAGTGCAGCCAGAGCGTGTTTTGCCGAGGGAGGAGTGTCAGCCCTAGGACTTGGATGGGCGGTGCTTGCCTGGAACCCAGCTGAGTGGTGGTGAAGAAAATCCTGGATAGTTTGCTTCCAGATCATCACAGGCTGACTTAACGGTGACAAGTAGCTCCGCAGTCTGTAGACAACTGGCTGGTAAAGCCCGCCCGCCCACCAGCCTGGTCTCTTCCTGCACAGTTACTGGAAATGTCCTTTTTTTTCTTTTAAGAGTAAAATCAAAATATCCTGTTAGCATCCCAGAAGTTTCTCAAATGGTAAATTAGAGAATGAACTGAACATTGTCCATCTACCTAGACACCGTGAATTTGCTTCATTTCTCAGCTAATATGTGAATGCTCCGTTGTGAAGAAATGTAAATAATATGTAAATCTCTAAATGAAAGGATCTAGTTACCCTTCACCCTCTAATTGCACCTAGCTCCCTAGAGGTACCTGCTCTATTTATTTTTAGAGAGTGAGAGAATCCCAAGCAGGCTCCACACTCCGTGCAAAGCCCAACACCCCTGGGATCATGACTTAAGCTGAAATCAAGAATCAGACACTCAACTGACTGAGCCACCAAGGCACCCCATTACCGTTTTAATATTTGGGGCTGTAGCTGTCTAGATTTTTAAAAATGCATTTACATACATAAACATATCTGCACATATATAATGTCAGGGAGTCTCTAAGCCTTTTACGTAAGTGGTAACCATACTGTGGTATTCTGCGATCCCCCTACGCACCCCCCAGAGAGCTCTTTCCCTGTCAATACAGATACAGATCTATGTCATTCCTTTTATGATGCTGACTTCTGTTTGCAGGTAGCATTAGTACATTAACGTGTCAGGTACCCCAAAACCCTTATAAACTGATTCATGAAATACCCAGTACTTAAGCTTATCTCTAATAAGGGTTTTATTAAAGTATTGCTATTTGGGGGCGCCTGGGTGGCTTAGTCGGTTGAGCGTCCGACTTTCGCTTAGGTCATGATCTCACAGTTCGTGGGTTCGAGCCCCGCGTCGGGCTCTGTGCTGACTGCCAGCTCAGAGCCTGGAGCCTGTTTCACAGTCTGTGTCTCCCTCTCTCTCTGACCCTCCCCTGTTCACGCTGTCTCTCTCTCTCTCCTAGAAATAAATAAAAATATTTAAAAAAAAATAAAATAAAGTATTGCTATTTGATGGCATTTCCCTTCTGAAATGAGGAAAAAAAATATTCCCCCAATTTTACTTCTTTCAGGTGAGTTTTCATAAGTTTCTTTGAGAGGTGTTTCATCTTTGGTACTTTTGCTAAGACTGAACTGTAAATGCAACATGGTCATCTGAAACTTTTTAGAAAATGTTGCCCTTAGCAAAAGTGATTCTGAAAAACCACTTATTTATCATTCTCCCTCATCTGTTCTCCAAAACTTGATATTTTAGTTTTTAGATCCTTCAGTAACGGCAAGTGGCATCTGAAAGTCTCTAAAAATAAGTTATCTGTCTTAAAGTGGGATGACTTGTATGGTGAGCAAAGAGAGTGAACTCTGGTGAGAAGAAGGAGCCAGTTATTTGGGTCAGAGAGGCAGAGAGCTGCCTTGAATTTTGTTGGGAAATCTGCTGGAAAATCTTGTTGGAAAAAGAGGATGGAGGGTGTCTGTGGGAAATTCCAGACACGGATCTTCCAAATCCTTAGGAACAGGGTGATGTTATTTTAGGAGAGATTTTCCTTGAAATCATTTTCTTAGGCTCTCATTATGTGTTTGTAGAATTTCTGCTGTAATTCCTATTCATTCATGTCCAGAAAAGCCTGTTGTGAGATGTTCTATATTTATCAGGTTAGGTCAGTTTAAGAAGGCAACAGCTTTTAAATTGGGAACATTCTTCACCTTTTAAAAATGTCTTACACTTTTTGCTTGTCTAAGAAATCATTTATATTTTTTGTTTTTTTAACGTTTATTCATTTTTGAGACAGAGAGAGACAGAGCATGAGCTGGGGAGGGGCAGAGAGAGAGGGAGACGCAGAATCCAAAGCAAGCTCCAGGCTCTGAGCTGTTAGCACAGAGCCCAATGCGGGGCTTGAACCCACGGACCTTGAGATCATGACCTGAGCCAACCGACTGAGCCACTCAGGTTCCCCATAAGAAACCATTTAAAAGACCCAAACAAACTAATCCATGAAATAATCCATCTGGGAAACAGCATACATTTGTTTTTATGTGTGTATGCTTCTAAAGCAAGTAACTGATTCCTATTTGAAAATGGGATACAATGTTGAAGAGAAACCCATTAGAAACATGCCAAGGTTTAATGCCAACATTATTCACATGAAACAAGAAGGGTCGAACGTATCAAATGGCCTGTTTAAATGGCGTATCAAGTTTCAAAAGAGCTATTGCTCACCCACGCAAAAATGCAAACCATTTCTATACTTAAATCACCTAACAGGTATCTTCAGGAATGTTGGCTTTGCACAAGGACTCAAAATAGGTGTAAGGTACGTTACATCATGCGTCTTTGAGTTTTAAAGTCCAAGAAACGAGTGCTTTCACATAAGTAGGCAACATAGCCCCACGGGAACACAGACGGGGAGGGGGAAGGGCACACGGGCAGGCTGTAGAGACAGAGGTGTGTGAAGCTGGCAGGCAGGGCTGGGCTGAGGGCCGCTGGGGAGCTAGTGAAGAGCAGGTAGATGGGCCAGGGCAGCAGTTTTGTCATAAAGGCAAATCGTTCTAAAAGCCCGTTTCCCTTCCCTTCCGTCTGCTTTTTCCCTGCCCTGAGGCAGCTACTTCCAACTTTGGTGGTTTGGGGCGGGTGGAGTGTTCACCTCAGTGTCTCTAAGTGATACACCTCTAATGCCACTTCTTGATATTCAGTTATTGAAATTATGTTTTGGGGCACGTGGCTGGCCAAGTCGGTGGAGCGTGTGTGTCTTGGTCTCCAGGTTGTGAGTTCAAGCCCCATGTTGGGTGTAGACATTACTCAAAAATAAAATATTTAAAAATCGTGTTTTTGGGGCCCCTGGGTGGCTCAGTCAGTTAAGTGTCCGACTTCAGCTCAGGTCATGATCTCACACTTCTTGGGTTCGGGCCCTGCAAGAGGCTTTCTGCTGTCAGCACTGGGCCTGTTCAGATCCTCTGTCCGCCCCTCCTCCACTCATACTCTGGCTCTCAAAAATAAACATTAAAAAAAAAAAAGCAATTATGTTTTGACTTCTTACCACCCCCAACTCCTTTTGTGCCCCAGCCTCCTGATAGAATTACATTGAATTTTGTTTAGCACAATATTCAGTGGTTACATTATTGTGACCGTGTAGACGCTGCTCTTATCAATTGAACTATATACTAAAGAGGTTTTTTTTTTTCTGTACAAGTTTTTTTTGTTTTCTGGAGGTGGTTTTTAAAAAAAATTTTTTTTTGCTTTTAGTTTTCCATCAACTTTAGTTATTCACCCTAAACGCTGCCATTTTCTTTCTTCTTTTTTTTTTTTTTTGTTGTTGTTGTTAAGTAGGCTCTGTGCTAGGCATGGATGCAGGGCTTAAACCTATGACCTTGAGATCAAGATCTGAGCTGAGATCAAGAGTCAGATGCTTAAACCAACTGAGCCCCTCAGGTGCCCCAAAATGCTACTATTTTCTCAGCCTCTGCAAATGCTCAGGTGCTCAGGAATTCCATCGCCTTCTGCTCCCGGAGCTTCTGAGCAGCCGTGCCTGGTGTATACACACGGCCCTGCTCTCTCTCCACCTGCACCTGGCCCCCTTCACACCCCCTGTGGTCACCTCCTGTTCTCTGCATCCGTGTTTCCCTCTTTTGTTGACAAGCTCTCATTAGTGCACAGTCCCAGGGGTTCCCTGGGGGAGGATGCACAGGCAGTCAACACCTCAGATGGTCTGTTCTTCATTTATACTTAACTGATAGTTCTGTCGGACACAGAATTCTGGCTTGGAAAACATTTTTCCTTCAGAATTTGAAAGCATTGCTTCATTCCTCCCATGTTATTATGGGAAAATTAACTGTAACCTATTTCTTTTTCTTTTTCTTTTTTTTTTCTTCTCTTGAAACTTTTAAGGACTTCTTTTTGGTTCCCAGTGTTCTGGCATTGTCACTGTTATGGAAATTAGGTGGGTCTGTTTTTGCCTATTGCACCAGGCAGTTGGTGGCATGGACGCTTTCCATCTGGCACCACGTGTCCTGGATGACTGGGAAACTTGGAATTCTTTTTATTTTCCTCCCTTCTGTTTTCTCTGGATTCCACAATTACTAAGATAGTGAGCCTCCTGGACTGAGCCTCTAGTCTTCTTATCTCTTCTAACCTATTTTCCATCTCTGACTTTTTATTCAACTCGACCTTCCAACCTTTCTGTTGGTTTTTCATTTCTGCTACCATGTTTTTCATATGAGTTCTGTTTTTGTCCTTAGATGCTCTTAAAAAAATAGTATCCTATCTGGTTTCGTGGTTACAATATATTTTTTGAATCTCTGAAACTATTGATGATACAGGTTTTTTGCCTGCCTGCCTTGTCTCTATGAACTTCTTTTTTTCTGTTCTGTTGTCTTTTTTTTTTTTTAGTTCATTAATTTTTCAGAG